CCCGCCGTTGCCGCCGCTGCCGCTGCGCGCGGCCGCGCGCAGCTGCGCTACGGCGTGCGCGAGCGCTACGAGCATGGCGCCGCAGGCCGCAGCCAGTGCGATGACCACCAGCTGCTGCCCAGGGAGCGGCGGGGCGGGGCCGTAGGGGAACCCCTCGTCGTAGTAATCGGCGTCCTCGATGACGTCATCGAGCTCGTCGACCGACTCGGGCACGTAGTCCTCGGACGTGCTGGATTCCTCGGACTGCGAGAAGGGGGCCGAAGAAACGACCTCGCCGGTGATGACGACGTCGCGACCCTGCAGCTGCTGGGGCCCCAGGCCCATCATCATCGGCATGCCGCGGAGCAGCATAGGCAGCGCCGCAAACGCCGCCGCGACGCCGTCGCCGTCGCTGTCGCCGCTCTCGTCGTCCGACCGCTCGGCGCCGGCCCGCTGCTGGTCGGCGGCGCGAGCCGCGAGCATCGCCGCGACGCGCTTGGGGCATGGGCGGCGCGGCAGCGCGTAGGACGACCACGCGGACGCGTCCTCCTCCGCGCCCTGCAGCGCCGCAGGCTGAGGAACGAACGCGGACAGGATTGCCTCTGTCTCGCGCTTGAACGCGCCGAGCGCCGCCGCCGCCAGCCGGCCGAGGCCGCCGTCGGCGGCGAGCACATCGCCTACGACCAGCAGCGAGGAGCCGGGCGCGTCGTCCTCCGTGCGATCCAGCGGCTCAGCAGCCCCCTCGTCGGCCCTGGGCGCGGCCGCGGCTGACACAGCACGTCCTGGCTCTTGCTGTGCCGCTGGTTGCTGGTCGCCGCGCACAAAGCTGTCGAGGGCGTCGCTCTCGGCGCGCGCCAGCGAGTCGATCGCAGCGCGCAGCAGGGAGAGGTCCTCGTCCTCGTCATCGTGCGAGTCCTCCTCGTCCAGCGCCGCGGCCGCTTCGGCAACGGCGGCGGCTGCTTCCTCGCGCTGTGCCTCGCGGGTGACCTCCGACAGAACAGACGCGAGCGCATCCTTGGCGCTGGCGGCGCCGTCTGTGGCTTCCAGGAACGCCTGGGCGTCGGCGTTGTCGGAGGCGGCGAGCGCCTTGCTGTCCGTCTGCGTGGCAGCGTCGCTGTCGCATGCCGCGGGCGGGGGGCGGGGGCGCAGGGCGAATGAGCGAGGCGGGCCAGGCTGCCGGGGACAGCCCGCTACACCAGCACAGCGCGCATGCTCGCCAACCCCTGATGCTGTGCGAAAACTTTCACAGCATTGTCACAAGCAATCCAAACTTCAGCGTTGGCGTAGACGCGGACCGGCCTTCGAAATACAGTGTACGGTACCCGTCGCTCACATGTAGGCCTGCGCATCTGCCTCATTGGTGGAGAGGCTCACAACATGAGTCCCCTGCGTGAGCCAGAACGAGGTGCTCAGATGACACGCGGGCTGGTGTTTTGGTCTCAGATGCCTCGTGGCACAGCTCGAGTATAGCTCACCTGCAGGTCCCTCGTTGCGTGCGCCACCCGCGTCAAAACCATGACGCAGAGTACCAGGGTCAGGCCCCAACCCAGAGAGCGCGGAGCCATCCTTGGAGCGACAGAAGCCGTTCTATGCGTGTACGCTGCTGCGCATGGGCGTATGGCTGTTCTCTGCAGTTGATCGTACGCTTAAATCATTCTTCTGTACGGCCGAAGAACGCGTTGGCTCTAAGCACAGTCGCGGGTGCAGCGACGCCGTCCGGGTGCTCCAGCTTCCTCGCTTCACCCGCTTCACCCCTCCTAGGCACCAGGCAACACAGGCAGGGACGCTTGGGCAGAAAAAGCTGAGAGGAAGGACCACTCTGGCACATCTGCCTCATCTGCCTGAAGCCAGGTTGTACCGTGTGTCGATTGCACGCACCGTGGCGCGCCCAAGCAGCCACGCGCGTCTGCGGTTGCAGCACCCCCGACAAAAAGTACCGCAGGACGCACCACAAGCACCAAAATGAGCGGCTGCGCTGGGGTCATGATAGCGACTGCTCCAGCAACACATTACTTGTTAAATTCCTACGGGCAACTAATTGCACGTCACCACAACTACAGCCTGCCACGCGCCACGAAGCAGGAAACAAGGCTACTGCTGCTGCACAAACTCGAGCGCCCGCTGCTTGACGTGCGCGACCTGCGCCTCGGTGCCGTGCGCCTTCTCGAACTCCAGCCACCGGCGGAACAGGAACTTCATCTTCTTGGGGGGCAGCGCCAGGCTGGTGGCGCGCTCCAGCAGCGTGCGCACGCGGCCGTCGTCCCCCTGCTTGACCTCCTGTGGGGGCCGGCCATTATTTCGGGTTGTGGTGTTGAGAAGGGGTTGAAGGGTGGGGCGGAGGGAAGCGACGGGTGGGTGGGAGTGAAGGTCGGCGAAGGGGCGACTCGACGCCGCGCCCGACGGGCCGACGGGCGCAGCGGCCCGTCAGGCGGCCGCCCACGCAGCCCCAGCCCGCTGCCGGCCCCCGGAGGCCGACCCCCCCGCGCCCGCGCCCGCGAGCAGCGCGCGCTGCGAGCGGCCGGCTGCACGCCACCTGTGCCAAAATCAACTACACAACCATGAGCGAGGAGCGAGCTGCCTGGCTGCCCCGGCCGCCCACGCACCTGGTCGATGTACATGCTCCACAGGTCCAGCCGCTTGGGGTAGTTGCGCAGCACGCCCTCCATCACGCTGCGCCCACGCTCCGCGCTGCCCAGCCGGAACTCGAGCAGCGCCGCGTGGCTGATCGCCTTGACGTGCTTGCGGCGCGGCAGCGTGGCCAGCGCGCGCTCCAGCAGGCGGCGCGCGGCGTCGCCGGCGGCGGGGCCGCCGGTGGTGAGCGAATGCTCCATCGCACGCAGCCACACCTGTCACCGTGGGGGGATGTTGGCAGAGGGGAGGCGCATGAGGGCCGATGTGAGGTTGGGCATGAGCAGCGGGGCGCGCGTCGGTTGCTGCAGCGCGGCGCCGCCAGGGATGGGCACGACGCCAGGCCGGCGAGCCACCGGCGCGCGCCCCCCGCCGTCGGTCCCTTTCGGCAGATCAGGCGCGCGCCGCACGCCGCACGCAAGCGGGGGGCAGGCGCCGCCCCAAGACCCCTTGCCCCTTGCCCGCGCCCCCGCGGCCGACCTTGCAGCTGCCGCCGAACTTCTTAGTCATGGCCTTGAGCGCGTCCTCCGCCAGCTCGCCGCGCCCCGAGCGCTGCAGTATGCCCAGCAGTGCGAGGTACAGCTGCTTCTGGTCCGTGTACTGCGGGGGCGGATGGGAGGTGGATGCAGGCGGGGGGCTGAGTCAGCAGGGCGAGGGACAGGCGCTTGTGGTCGGTGTGCTGTGGAGCCGGGG